CCTGTGTGAACCGCTTCAGCACCAGCACCAGGACCTGGGACGTCCTGTGCAAAGTCAACCTCTTGGTGGCAGGCACTTTCCGGAGACAAACGCCACAGTCATAGGCATTTTCAACGTCCAGCTTCTCGGGCTTCACCAGCTCTCTCAGAGCTTGCTCCACACTCTGAGCCGCGGTGGTATCCAGGCTGATGTCCAGATAAGGGTCGAACGTGTCTGAGACACCGAGGCAGTGGACACACTGGATCTGAGAGCTGCAAGTCCCGCCGAAGATCTGACGGATGAGGGTGGTGTCCTCGGAGGGATGGCCCGACGGCTGGGATGCACTCAAGCACCCTCGCTGCATGGGATTCAGAGTGAACATCAGAAACTCGTGGGCATCTTCCTGCTAGTGTCTGTGGAAGCCCGCCGGCAGGTCCTTGCGGGGCCGGATCACCTCTCCCGGGTGAAGGAGGGTTCGGGTCACGTGAGCTCGCCCAGCACAGAGCGTGCAGGAGGTTCGAGTCGGATAGAGGGTGGCGTGCTGCTGGGACACATTCCAGCGGGCCAGGGGTGGCGTGTGGCTCAGACAGTGCAGCACTGCATTCACGTAGCAGGTGTTCCCCAGATTCTGAAGCCCAGCCCCGACCCCCCACGGCCCCCTCCAGCTCAGGGCGACTTGGTGGCCAGGCGCCAGCCCTGCCGACCCAGGAGCCAAGTCACCCCGCTGGGGCCAACCAAGTGCCGGCGATGACACCTCAGGGACAGAGGGTCCCCGAAGGGCATCCGCACCAGCGGCGCTGGGCCGACTACCTTGCCCTCTGGGGAGGACGTGGAAGGGAGACGGACACGCACCACCCCCGTGCGCAGAAGTAGCCCCCGGGTCTATGCAAACAAGGCCCACGAGTGTTTTCCATCTCCTACCTGCAGCTGCACGACGATGCCTCATTCCCTCAGATGGTGCTTCTTTTAGAAGGGGCCTGGGCCCCGCCTCCTCGGTCCTTTGATGGCCTCCCACAGCCCCACCCCCAAGCACGCGCAAGCTCCTCATTGGCTGAGGCGTCCGAGGGCGTCCTCACTCCCACTCCCGACATCCCACCACCGACACTTTTCTCGGGGAATTCCCCATGACGAAGCCCCGCACGCACTTCCGATCTGGCCCTGGACCCAAGGGCTCAGGATGTAAATGATTTGGGGGGCCTTGGGCTTTCCAGACTTGCCTGCTAGAGCGTCACTGCAGGGCTTCCAAGTTCAGCACACACATGCGGGCTGGGGAGGAATTCCGTGGGCTCACCCTTCAGATCCTACCACACTTGTGGAAACATATGTCTGCCCACCTACCCTCTCCCCTCGAGGGGTCTCCCCACCCCAGACCCCTGCCTGAGGACAACCCCTCCCCGGACAACAAGAAACCCTTGCCTCAACTTTGCCCTCGACTGAGGTCCACTGCCATTTCTATGCCTTCTCACTAGCCACTCTTCTAGCGTTCAGGGTCCTAGCACCAAAAGATGCCGCGAGTGTAGCACATATGCTTTTCTCCCTTCAGGGTTGTTGGTCATGGTCCACAGGGAGCTCCTTCAGAAAGCCATAGGCTCGCTGCACCTTTCGATTCACTTCTTCAACTCCTTTTCAATCTTAATGGTCTTTTGCGTTATTTCTTTCTACTTCTTTTCTGTGTGTGTCTGTTTTCGTTCATTTTTCAATTTCTTTTTTTTTTTTTTTTTTTGTATTTTTCATTCATTTCATTATTATTATTATTTATTTTTTTTGCAGGTTTTCATTCTCTTTTTCTACATTAGTTACAGTAGTTGATTTCTAGAGTCATCTTTCCAATTGAGGGGCTCAAAATGCACTATACCTTAAGGTATAAACAGATTTCCTCCTGGAGGAGGATGACTGTTGGTTTCCTTCTTGGTGTGTGACATGTATGTTTGTTTGCTGTCCCGACCTGGACATTATGCTTGCCTTCCAGAAAGGCCGTTCAACAGGCCATGGGTTACCCATAGCTGACGTGTTGATTCCGTTGATCCTTACTAGGAAAAGATGGCCCTGACCCTGCTTTTCCCTTAGCCTGTTGCACCGCTCCCACCTCCCGCTGCCCCATCCCATCCCAGGACCCTACTGCTTTGTGCTTTATGATGCATGTGCTCACAACCTTGCTGTCTTTTTGCCTCCTTCCCATGGCACAGAGAAACCAGATCAGCCCGTTTTTGTCTCTCTTTTGCATGCATTTCCCCCAGCATCAGGCGACATTTCCATTCCCTCTGCCACGCCATTCCAATCACCGTTCTTCTCCTTCTTCTCTTTCTTCACCATCTTCACCTCCTTCTCCTTCTTCTTCTTCAGAGCGTGTGGATGGGGCAAGCAGTAAGTCCGTTTGAGGCGATGGGGCAGAGGAAGATTGGTGGTGATAATGAGGGTGGCCTGTGGGTGGCTCGACTTCCTCATCCAGGGCACACTTTTTCGAGTTCTTGGGGGAAGATACCGCTCATCATTTTTTTTCCTCTCTGCATGTGGAGGCCACGGTGCGTTACAGGTAACCGTGCGGGGGGAAGAAGCCAGCGGAAAGTTCTCTGTTCCATGCCAAGCCGACTAGCACATTCAGGAGCCTCAGCTGTCCCTCTAGGTCTGAGATGCTAAATCGCAAATTCCAGGTCCACCGTTTGATGGAGGGTTTTGGGTTTGAAGCCGGCAACGAAGAGAAAGAAAGAAACCGCAAGAGGGGATCGATAAGGGTCCTCGGGCGCCCCTCCACCAGGTCGCGGGACCACGAGGCAGGCGGGAAAGCAGCTAGGAGAGGACAGTTTCCCCACCATCCCAGACACTTCAGAGGCCGGCTGTGACTCATCCCGTCCAGCGGCGTTTGTCCGGGGCCAAGCTGAACGAGACAACTGACTGACAGATAGGATGGGCAGATTCGGATGTCCAGTTGTCTTGCTCTCACAATCTAGGGCAGGCTTGGGTCTTTCCTCAGTGCACGGAGGACCTTTGCTTTCAGAAAGGAACCGTTACATGACCCATCTCCACGTAGGCACCTGTGCCATGATGGTGGAGAAGTTTCTTTGGGACTCGCTGGGTTGCCTTTCTCCCCTTGGCCTTCGTGGTGGAGGCGGTGGACCTGGTGGTGGTACTCATGGCACCGTGAATCGCTTCTCCCGTTGGGCACTTGGAGGTTCTTCAGCATACTCCTTGCACCAGAAAAGGAGCCCCAGGCAACTCTGCGCACGCGTGTCCCGCCGGTGACGAACAGATCCCCCGCGTCATTCCTTCCGGAGGTCCCTTTCCCAAGTAGCACTTTCCCAATGGCTCCCAAGGACATTCCACCCGTAGAGCCTGGTCGCCCATCTTCTGCGCGGACCCTGCTCAATGCTTGGGGCATTTTCGAGAGCCTGGCAGGCCAGAAGGAGACGATTCACAGACCTGCACCCGCTCCTCCCTGCCCCCCACAGGGCTCAGGAGATCGCCTCCTTGCTCGGCTGGCTGTGGGCGTGCTGGGAGGGGTCTCCCTGCCTCCTCACTCGCCAGAGGCCAGAGGCCAGCGGTGTGGCCAGAGAAGGCAGACGGGGAAAGAAAGGCAAAGCCACACCCAAAGTCCCATCCAGAGAGGACTCTCCCAGCCCCGGAGAAGGGCGAGGCACTCAGACTGTGCTCAGACCCGGTCACGCACCCCATCCTCTCCAGTCACTTGCCATCAGAGCCAGACGTCGAGAGCTTGGCCCCTCAGCACCGTCCAGGTGAACAGCGTGGCCCCGGGCACACTGCAGGCCCCGCCTTTTTCCAGGAGGCTGCACCAGCCACACCGCCGAGAGGAACTCGCTCCTCGCAGGAACTCTTGGTGGGTCACACAGGCCGTGCCGCACGCAGAGTGTGCCTGGGCTTCTGCAGGCATGTGCCTCAGAGCCTACCTACCGCCACAGCCCCAGAGATGGCCGCGGCTTCTTGTTTTTCCTCTTGGTCGCTCGGGCCCTCCCGCTGGCACAAGGGCCGTTGCCAACGCTCATTGGGCCCGGAGGCGGGCTGTGCATGCTGGAACGGTCGAGCCGGTCGTGCTCCTCTTCGGGCAGCTTGCCGTTTCTCCCTGCTCCGTGTTTGGACTGGTGAATCACGACTGGGCCGGCAGGCAGGGCCGACTGGATCTTCCAGAGGTCGGAGGCCGTCTTCGGCCGGTTGTGCTCTTTTAGGCGTCTCCACTGCTCTAAGCTGATTCCTTCGAACTCTGTGGCCCCCGGGGACACCTGTGTCCCAGGAGCTCTGCCGCTGGCTTCGCCCACAGGCTCCCCGGGGCCGGCAGGGTCAGGTTCCCCGGGGTGTGTGGGGTCAGGCGTGAGGGGGGCCGCAGACCCTCCCCCAGCACCCCCTTGCCACGCACCCTCCCGGGAGTAGAAGAGGATGTAGGCGCCCTGGCTCAGGGCAGCACTCTCATCACAGGCCGTCACCTTGGCATCGCCCATCTTATAACACTGGCCGTTGCCCGCTCGCACGAAAGAAAAGTAATGTCCTCGCTCACCACTCCACCCAGAGTGCACCAGCACGGCATAGAGCACGTAGCCCAGTGGCCCTGCTTTCCGCTCAGACGTGAAGGGCTGCAGGTCGAGGCACTGGGGATAGCGCACTTCCTGAGCCCTTTTGGCCCCGCTCACCTGTGTGAACCGCTTCAGCACCAGCACCAGGACCTGGGACGTCCTGTGCAAAGTCAACCTCTTGGTGGCAGGCACTTTCCGGAGACAAACGCCACAGTCATAGGCATTTTCAACGTCCAGCTTCTCGGGCTTCACCAGCTCTCTCAGAGCTTGCTCCACACTCTGAGCCGCGGTGGTATCCAGGCTGATGTCCAGATAAGGGTCGAACGTGTCTGAGACACCGAGGCAGTGGACACACTGGATCTGAGAGCTGCAAGTCCCGCCGAAGATCTGACGGATGAGGGTGGTGTCCTCGGAGGGATGGCCCGACGGCTGGGATGCACTCAAGCACCCTCGCTGCATGGGATTCAGAGTGAACATCAGAAACTCGTGGGCATCTTCCTGCTAGTGTCTGTGGAAGCCCGCCGGCAGGTCCTTGCGGGGCCGGATCACCTCTCCCGGGTGAAGGAGGGTTCGGGTCACGTGAGCTCGCCCAGCACAGAGCGTGCAGGAGGTTCGGGCCGGATAGAGGGTGGCGTGCTGCTGGGACACATTCCAGCGGGCCAGGGGTGGCGTGTGGCTCAGACAGTGCAGCACTGCATTCACGTAGCAGGTGTTCCCCAGATTCTGAAGCCCAGCCCCGACCCCCCACGGCCCCCTCCAGCTCAGGGCGACTTGGTGGCCAGGCGCCAGCCCTGCCGACCCAGGAGCCAAGTCACCCCGCTGGGGCCAACCAAGTGCCGGCGATGACACCTCAGGGCAGAGGGTCCCCGAAGGGCATCCGCACCAGCGGCGCTGGGCCGACTACCTTGCCCTCTGGGGAGGACGTGGAAGGGAGACGGACACGCACCACCCCCGTGCGCAGAAGTAGCCCCCGGGTCTATGCAAACAAGGCCCACGAGTGTTTTCCATCTCCTACCTGCAGCTGCACGACGATGCCTCATTCCCTCAGATGGTGCTTCTTTTAGAAGGGGCCTGGGCCCCGCCTCCTCGGTCCTTTGATGGCCTCCCACAGCCCCACCCCCAAGCACGCGCAAGCTCCTCATTGGCTGAGGCGTCCGAGGGCGTCCTCACTCCCACTCCCGACATCCCACCACCGACACTTTTCTCGGGGAATTCCCCATGACGAAGCCCCGCACGCACTTCCGATCTGGCCCTGGACCCAAGGGCTCAGGATGTAAATGATTTGGGGGGCCTTGGGCTTTCCAGACTTGCCTGCTAGAGCGTCACTGCAGGGCTTCCAAGTTCAGCACACACATGCGGGCTGGGGAGGAATTCCGTGGGCTCACCCTTCAGATCCTACCACACTTGTGGAAACATATGTCTGCCCACCTACCCTCTGCCCTCGAGGGGTCTCCCCACCCCAGACCCCTGCCTGAGGACAACCCCTCCCCGGACAACAAGAAACCCTTGCCTCAAATTTGCCCTCGACTGAGGTCCACTGCCATTTCTATGCCTTCTCACTAGCCACTCTTCTAGCGTTCAGGGTCCTAGCACCAAAAGATGCCGCGAGTGTAGCACATATGCTTTTCTCCCTTCAGGGTTGTTGGTCATGGTCCACAGGGAGCTCCTTCAGAAAGCCATAGGCTCGCTGCACCTTTCGATTCACTTCTTCAACTCCTTTTCAATCTTAATGGTCTTTTGCGTTATTTCTTTCTACTTCTTTTCTGTGTGTGTCTGTTTTCGTTCATTTTTCAATTTCTTTTTTTTTTTTTTTTTGTATTTTTCATTCATTTCATTATTATTATTATTTATTTTTTTTGCAGGTTTTCATTCTCTTTTTCTACATTAGTTACAGTAGTTGATTTCTAGAGTCATCTTTCCAATTGAGGGGCTCAAAATGCACTATACCTTAAGGTATAAACAGATTTCCTCCTGGAGGAGGATGACTGTTGGTTTCCTTCTTGGTGTGTGACATGTATGTTTGTTTGCTGTCCCGACCTGGACATTATGCTTGCCTTCCAGAAAGGCCGTTCAACAGGCCATGGGTTACCCATAGCTGACGTGTTGATTCCGTTGATCCTTACTAGGAAAAGATGGCCCTGACCCTGCTTTTCCCTTAGCCTGTTGCACCGCTCCCACCTCCCGCTGCCCCATCCCATCCCAGGACCCTACTGCTTTGTGCTTTATGATGCATGTGCTCACAACCTTGCTGTCTTTTTGCCTCCTTCCCATGGCACAGAGAAACCAGATCAGCCCGTTTTTGTCTCTCTTTTGCATGCATTTCCCCCAGCATCAGGCGACATTTCCATTCCCTCTGCCACGCCATTCCAATCACCGTTCTTCTCCTTCTTCTCTTTCTTCACCATCTTCACCTCCTTCTCCTTCTTCTTCTTCAGAGCGTGTGGATGGGGCAAGCAGTAAGTCCGTTTGAGGCGATGGGGCAGAGGAAGATTGGTGGTGATAATGAGGGTGGCCTGTGGGTGGCTCGACTTCCTCATCCAGGGCACACTTTTTCGAGTTCTTGGGGGAAGATACCGCTCATCATTTTTTTTCCTCTCTGCATGTGGAGGCCACGGTGCGTTACAGGTAACCGTGCGGGGGGAAGAAGCCAGCGGAAAGTTCTCTGTTCCATGCCAAGCCGACTAGCACATTCAGGAGCCTCAGCTGTCCCTCTAGGTCTGAGATGCTAAATCGCAAATTCCAGGTCCACCGTTTGATGGAGGGTTTTGGGTTTGAAGCCGGCAACGAAGAGAAAGAAAGAAACCGCAAGAGGGGATCGATAAGGGTCCTCGGGCGCCCCTCCACCAGGTCGCGGGACCACGAGGCAGGCGGGAAAGCAGCTAGGAGAGGACAGTTTCCCCACCATCCCAGACACTTCAGAGGCCGGCTGTGACTCATCCCGTCCAGCGGCGTTTGTCCGGGGCCAAGCTGAACGAGACAACTGACTGACAGATAGGATGGGCAGATTCGGATGTCCAGTTGTCTTGCTCTCACAATCTAGGGCAGGCTTGGGTCTTTCCTCAGTGCACGGAGGACCTTTGCTTTCAGAAAGGAACCGTTACATGACCCATCTCCACGTAGGCACCTGTGCCATGATGGTGGAGAAGTTTCTTTGGGACTCGCTGGGTTGCCTTTCTCCCCTTGGCCTTCGTGGTGGAGGCGGTGGACCTGGTGGTGGTACTCATGGCACCGTGAATCGCTTCTCCCGTTGGGCACTTGGAGGTTCTTCAGCATACTCCTTGCACCAGAAAAGGAGCCCCAGGCAACTCTGCGCACGCGTGTCCCGCCGGTGACGAACAGATCCCCCGCGTCATTCCTTCCGGAGGTCCCTTTCCCAAGTAGCACTTTCCCAATGGCTCCCAAGGACATTCCACCCGTAGAGCCTGGTCGCCCATCTTCTGCGCGGACCCTGCTCAATGCTTGGGGCATTTTCGAGAGCCTGGCAGGCCAGAAGGAGACGATTCACAGACCTGCACCCGCTCCTCCCTGCCCCCCACAGGGCTCAGGAGATCGCCTCCTTGCTCGGCTGGCTGTGGGCGTGCTGGGAGGGGTCTCCCTGCCTCCTCACTCGCCAGAGGCCAGAGGCCAGCGGTGCGGCCAGAGAAGGCAGACGGGGAAAGAAAGGCAAAGCCACACCCAAAGTCCCATCCAGAGAGGACTCTCCCAGCCACGCAGAAGGGCGAGGCCCTCGGACTGTGCTCAGACCCGGTCACGCACCCCATCCTCTCCAGTCACTTGCCATCACAGCCAACCGTCGAGAGCTTGGCCCCTCAGCACCGTCCAGGTGAACAGCGTGGCCCCGGGCACACTGCAGGCCCCGCCTTTTTCCAGGAGGCTGCACCAGCCACACCGCCGAGAGGAACTCGCTCCTCGCAGGAACTCTTGGTGGGTCACACAGGCCGTGCCGCACGCAGAGTGTGCCTGGGCTTCTGCAGGCATGTGCCTCAGAGCCTACCTACCGCCACAGCCCCAGAGATGGCCGCGGCTTCTTGTTTTTCCTCTTGGTCGCTCGGGCCCTCCCGCTGGCACAAGGGCCGTTGCCAACGCTCATTGGGCCCGGAGGCGGGCTGTGCATGCTGGAACGGTCGAGCCGGTCATGCTCCGCTTCGGGCAGCTTGCCGTTTCTCCCTGCTCCGTGTTTGGACTGGTGAATCACGACTGGGCCGGCAGGCAGGGCCGACTGGATCTTCCAGAGGTCGGAGGCCGTCTTCGGCCGGTTGTGCTCTTTTAGGCGTCTCCACTGCTCTAAGCTGATTCCTTCGACCTCTGTGGCCCCCGGGGACACCTGTGTCCCAGGAGCTCTGCCGCTGGCTTCGCCCACAGGCTCCCCGGGGCCGGCAGGGTCAGGTTCCCCGGGGTGTGTGGGGTCAGGCGTGAGGGGGGCCGCAGACCCTCCCCCAGCACCCCCTTGCCACGCACCCTCCCGGGAGTAGAAGAGGATGTAGGCGCCCTGGCTCAGGGCAGCACTCTCATCACAGGCCGTCACCTTGGCATCGCCCATCTTATAACACTGGCCGTTGCCCGCTCGCACGAAAGAAAAGTAATGTCCTCGCTCACCACTCCACCCAGAGTGCACCAGCACGGCATAGAGCACGTAGCCCAGTGGCCCTGCTTTCCGCTCAGACGTGAAGGGCTGCAGGTCGAGGCACTGGGGATAGCGCACTTCCTGAGCCCTTTTGGCCCCGCTCACCTGTGTGAACCGCTTCAGCACCAGCACCAGGACCTGGGACGTCCTGTGCAAAGTCAACCTCTTGGTGGCAGGCACTTTCCGGAGACAAACGCCACAGTCATAGGCATTTTCAACGTCCAGCTTCTCGGGCTTCACCAGCTCTCTCAGAGCTTGCTCCACACTCTGAGCCGCGGTGGTATCCAGGCTGATGTCCAGATAAGGGTCGAACGTGTCTGAGACACCGAGGCAGTGGACACACTGGATCTGAGAGCTGCAAGTCCCGCCGAAGATCTGACGGATGAGGGTGGTGTCCTCGGAGGGATGGCCCGACGGCTGGGATGCACTCAAGCACCCTCGCTGCATGGGATTCAGAGTAAACATCAGAAACTCGTGGGCATCTTCCTGCTAGTGTCTGTGGAAGCCCGCCGGCAGGTCCTTGCGGGGCCGGATCACCTCTCCCGGGTGAAGGAGGGTTCGGGTCACGTGAGCTCGCCCAGCACAGAGCGTGCAGGAGGTTCGAGCCGGATAGAGGGTGGCGTGCTGCTGGGACACATTCCAGCGGGCCAGGGGTGGCGTGTGGCTCAGACAGTGCAGCACTGCATTCACGTAGCAGGTGTTCCCCAGATTCTGAAGCCCAGCCCCGACCCCCCACGGCCCCCTCCAGCTCAGGGCGACTTGGTGGCCAGGCGCCAGCCCTGCCGACCCAGGAGCCAAGTCACCCCGCTGGGGCCAACCAAGTGCCGGCGATGACACCTCAGGGACAGAGGGTCCCCGAAGGGCATCCGCACCAGCGGCGCTGGGCCGACTACCTTGCCCTCTGGGGAGGACGTGGAAGGGAGACGGACACGCACCACCCCCGTGCGCAGAAGTAGCCCCCGGGTCTATGCAAACAAGGCCCACGAGTGTTTTCCATCTCCTACCTGCAGCTGCACGACGATGCCTCATTCCCTCAGATGGTGCTTCTTTTAGAAGGGGCCTGGGCCCCGCCTCCTCGGTCCTTTGATGGCCTCCCACAGCCCCACCCCCAAGCACGCGCAAGCTCCTCATTGGCTGAGGCGTCCGAGGGCGTGCTCACTCCCACTCCCGACATCCCACCACCGACACTTTTCTCGGGGAATTCCCCATGACGAAGCCCCGCACGCACTTCCGATCTGGCCCTGGACCCAAGGGCTCAGGATGTAAATGATTTGGGGGGCCTTGGGCTTTCCAGACTTGCCTGCTAGAGCGTCACTGCAGGGCTTCCAAGTTCAGCACACACATGCGGGCTGGGGAGGAATTCCGTGGGCTCACCCTTCAGATCCTACCACACTTGTGGAAACATATGTCTGCCCACCTACCCTCTCCCCTCGAGGGGTCTCCCCACCCCAGACCCCTGCCTGAGGACAACCCCTCCCCGGACAACAAGAAACCCTTGCCTCAACTTTGCCCTCGACTGAGGTCCACTGCCATTTCTATGCCTTCTCACTAGCCACTCTTCTAGCGTTCAGGGTCCTAGCACCAAAAGATGCCGCGAGTGTAGCACATATGCTTTTCTCCCTTCAGGGTTGTTGGTCATGGTCCACAGGGAGCTCCTTCAGAAAGCCATAGGCTCGCTGCACCTTTCGATTCACTTCTTCAACTCCTTTTCAATCTTAATGGTCTTTTGCGTTATTTCTTTCTACTTCTTTTCTGTGTGTGTCTGTTTTCGTTCATTTTTCAATTTCTTTTTTTTTTTTTTTTTGTATTTTTCATTCATTTCATTATTATTATTATTTATTTTTTTTGCAGGTTTTCATTCTCTTTTTCTACATTAGTTACAGTAGTTGATTTCTAGAGTCATCTTTCCAATTGAGGGGCTCAAAATGCACTATACCTTAAGGTATAAACAGATTTCCTCCTGGAGGAGGATGACTGTTGGTTTCCTTCTTGGTGTGTGACATGTATGTTTGTTTGCTGTCCCGACCTGGACATTATGCTTGCCTTCCAGAAAGGCCGTTCAACAGGCCATGGGTTACCCATAGCTGACGTGTTGATTCCGTTGATCCTTACTAGGAAAAGATGGCCCTGACCCTGCTTTTCCCTTAGCCTGTTGCACCGCTCCCACCTCCCGCTGCCCCATCCCATCCCAGGACCCTACTGCTTTGTGCTTTATGATGCATGTGCTCACAACCTTGCTGTCTTTTTGCCTCCTTCCCATGGCACAGAGAAACCAGATCAGCCCGTTTTTGTCTCTCTTTTGCATGCATTTCCCCCAGCATCAGGCGACATTTCCATTCCCTCTGCCACGCCATTCCAATCACCGTTCTTCTCCTTCTTCTCTTTCTTCACCATCTTCACCTCCTTCTCCTTCTTCTTCTTCAGAGCGTGTGGATGGGGCAAGCAGTAAGTCCGTTTGAGGCGATGGGGCAGAGGAAGATTGGTGGTGATAATGAGGGTGGCCTGTGGGTGGCTCGACTTCCTCATCCAGGGCACACTTTTTCGAGTTCTTGGGGGAAGATACCGCTCATCATTTTTTTTCCTCTCTGCATGTGGAGGCCACGGTGCGTTACAGGTAACCGTGCGGGGGGAAGAAGCCAGCGGAAAGTTCTCTGTTCCATGCCAAGCCGACTAGCACATTCAGGAGCCTCAGCTGTCCCTCTAGGTCTGAGATGCTAAATCGCAAATTCCAGGTCCACCGTTTGATGGAGGGTTTTGGGTTTGAAGCCGGCAACGAAGAGAAAGAAAGAAACCGCAAGAGGGGATCGATAAGGGTCCTCGGGCGCCCCTCCACCAGGTCGCGGGACCACGAGGCAGGCGGGAAAGCAGCTAGGAGAGGACAGTTTCCCCACCATCCCAGACACTTCAGAGGCCGGCTGTGACTCATCCCGTCCAGCGGCGTTTGTCCGGGGCCAAGCTGAACGAGACAACTGACTGACAGATAGGATGGGCAGATTCGGATGTCCAGTTGTCTTGCTCTCACAATCTAGGGCAGGCTTGGGTCTTTCCTCAGTGCACGGAGGACCTTTGCTTTCAGAAAGGAACCGTTACATGACCCATCTCCACGTAGGCACCTGTGCCATGATGGTGGAGAAGTTTCTTTGGGACTCGCTGGGTTGCCTTTCTCCCCTTGGCCTTCGTGGTGGAGGCGGTGGACCTGGTGGTGGTACTCATGGCACCGTGAATCGCTTCTCCCGTTGGGCACTTGGAGGTTCTTCAGCATACTCCTTGCACCAGAAAAGGAGCCCCAGGCAACTCTGCGCACGCGTGTCCCGCCGGTGACGAACAGATCCCCCGCGTCATTCCTTCCGGAGGTCCCTTTCCCAAGTAGCACTTTCCCAATGGCTCCCAAGGACATTCCACCCGTAGAGCCTGGTCGCCCATCTTCTGCGCGGACCCTGCTCAATGCTTGGGGCATTTTCGAGAGCCTGGCAGGCCAGAAGGAGACGATTCACAGACCTGCACCCGCTCCTCCCTGCCCCCCACAGGGCTCAGGAGATCGCCTCCTTGCTCGGCTGGCTGTGGGCGTGCTGGGAGGGGTCTCCCTGCCTCCTCACTCGCCAGAGGCCAGAGGCCAGCGGTGCGGCCAGAGAAGGCAGACGGGGAAAGAAAGGCAAAGCCACACCCAAAGTCCCATCCAGAGAGGACTCTCCCAGCCACGCAGAAGGGCGAGGCCCTCGGACTGTGCTCAGACCCAGTCACGCACCCCATCCTCTCCAGTCACTTGCCATCAGAGCCAACCGTCGAGAGCTTGGCCCCTCAGCACCGTCCAGGTGAACAGCGTGGCCCCGGGCACACTGCAGGCCCCGCCTTTTTCCAGGAGGCTGCACCAGCCACACCGCCGAGAGGAACTCGCTCCTCGCAGGAACTCTTGGTGGGTCACACAGGCCGTGCCGCACGCAGAGTGTGCCTGGGCTTCTGCAGGCATGTGCCTCAGAGCCTACCTACCGCCACAGCCCCAGAGATGGCCGCGGCTTCTTGTTTTTCCTCTTGGTCGCTCGGGCCCTCCCGCTGGCACAAGGGCCGTTGCCAACGCTCATTGGGCCCGGAGGCGGGCTGTGCATGCTGGAACGGTCGAGCCGGTCATGCTCCGCTTCGGGCAGCTTGCCGTTTCTCCCTGCTCCGAGTTTGGACTGGTGAATCACGACTGGGCCGGCAGGCAGGGCCGACTGGATCTTCCAGAGGTCGGAGGCCGTCTTCGGCCGGTTGTGCTCTTTTAGGCGTCTCCACTGCTCTAAGCTGATTCCTTCGACCTCTGTGGCCCCCGGGGACACCTGTGTCCCAGGAGCTCTGCCGCTGGCTTCGCCCACAGGCTCCCCGGGGCCGGCAGGGTCAGGTTCCCCGGGGTGTGTGGGGTCAGGCGTGAGGGGGGCCGCAGACCCTCCCCCAGCACCCCCTTGCCACGCACCCTCCCGGGAGTAGAAGAGGATGTAGGCGCCCTGGCTCAGGGCAGCACTCTCATCACAGGCCGTCACCTTGGCATCGCCCATCTTATAACACTGGCCGTTGCCCGCTCGCACGAAAGAAAAGTAATGTCCTCGCTCACCACTCCACCCAGAGTGCACCAGCACGGCATAGAGCACGTAGCCCAGTGGCCCTGCTTTCCGCTCAGACGTGAAGGGCTGCAGGTCGAGGCACTGGGGATAGCGCACTTCCTGAGCCCTTTTGGCCCCGCTCACCTGTGTGAACCGCTTCAGCACCAGCACCAGGACCTGGGACGTCCTGTGCAAAGTCAACCTCTTGGTGGCAGGCACTTTCCGGAGACAAACGCCACAGTCATAGGCATTTTCAACGTGCAGCTTCTCGGGCTTCACCAGCTCTCTCAGAGCTTGCTCCACACTCTGAGCCGCGGTGGTATCCAGGCTGATGTCCAGATAAGGGTCGAACGTGTCTGAGACACCGAGGCAGTGGACACACTGGATCTGAGAGCTGCAAGTCCCGCCGAAGATCTGACGGATGAGGGTGGTGTCCTCGGAGGGATGGCCCGACGGCTGGGATGCACTCAAGCACCCTCGCTGCATGGGATTCAGAGTGAACATCAGAAACTCGTGGGCATCTTCCTGCTAGTGTCTGTGGAAGCCCGCCGGCAGGTCCTTGCGGGGCCGGATCACCTCTCCCGGGTGAAGGAGGGTTCGGGTCACGTGAGCTCGCCCAGCACAGAGCGTGCAGGAGGTTCGGGCCGGATAGAGGGTGGCGTGCTGCTGGGACACATTCCAGCGGGCCAGGGGTGGCGTGTGGCTCAGACAGTGCAGCACTGCATTCACGTAGCAGGTGTTCCCCAGATTCTGAAGCCCAGCCCCGACCCCCCACGGCCCCCTCCAGCTCAGGGCGACTTGGTGGCCAGGCGCCAGCCCTGCCGACCCAGGAGCCAAGTCACCCCGCTGGGGCCAACCAAGTGCCGGCGATGA